CTGGCTTCGTCAAGTGATCCTTCTTCAGTATTACACTACTATAGTTTCGGACTTGAAAATAAGTCCATCTTCAGAAAACGTCAATAGGTCATATAACCAAATTGGTTAGATGACCTATTGACGTTTTTGTTAACCTGAAGATGGTCCTCCAGAGGCTACCTCACCATGTATACCTTTGAAGTAGAGGCTATATTTATTCCCAAAAGGTATCAAACGCCAGCTCCTGATCAAATCTTTTCTATCACTTTAAAGTTTGTTTCGTGTTTTTAGTCTTCACGTACAGAGACTTAAATCTTTGTATTAAATTGTTAGCAATCATAAATCGTGGACAGAATCTTCCACAAAAGATAAATACAATATAGTTTAACACCCTAGAACTCCTTAAAAAAATATGTTTTGTTAAGGCTTCGTCATAATGTTAAAAATACTCAATACAACAAATTCATTAATTTTACATATGTAAACGTTGATAGTTGTGTGCGTATACATCTAGTCCTCTATATTTTCTATGTACACAAATGCTTCTGTATACACTTTTTTTGCAACTCACAGTAACTGAGAAATATTCTAAACTGGTGAACTGTTTTTATAAATTTTTGCCATTATTTCTCATCCCGTGCTTAAAAAATTAGTGACTCGTGGATAAATCCAGATACAGAATTTAATCTAAATCGGACCACAGGTTTTGTCTGTAGGTCTGTATCTGGATCATACAAGTGTGTATTATATAACCTGATATTAGTCAAAATATGTTTTATTCTATAACGTTTAATTTAATTAAACATAAAAGTCATGCTCCCTCTATTTTTAAAGTATTCAGTCCAAAAATGTAATAAATTTACTTGTGCATACATATTTATTTCGTTTTAATAAATAATTGAGGTGATGCAATACACTTATGTAGGCAGTCGCAGCAGTCGAATACGGGCATAGCGCCTAAAGTTTCACGAACGCAAACCGCGCAACGAGTAGCTAAATGAGCCGTAGAGTAAGTGAGCCATCTAATATTTTGAAGAGGGTTCACTTACTCTACGGATCATAGTGCCAATGAACTGTAGAGTAAGTGAGCCATCTAATATTTTTCTGCAGGCTCGTATAGTATACGAGCCTATTCCTATAATTTATATTATTCATTATTTTGGCTCGTATACTATACGAGCCGATTCCTGAATTATCAAATAATTCGTAAGCTTGGCTCATAGTCACTATGATCTGTAGAGTAAGCGAACCTTCCTACTGTATTTTTAAATATAATACACGAGGCTCATAGGCACAATGATTCGTAGAGTAAGTGAACCCTCTTCATTTATTTTTTATTTTCGATAGGCTCGTATAGTATACGAGCCTGTAGTGCAAGTGAACCTTCAATATTATTTAAAAAGCTCGTATAGTCTATGATCTGTAGAGTAAGTGAGCTGTCCCCGTACTTGGCTGGGCTGGACTACGTCATTGACTAAATAACACTACTTAGTGTTATCATAGATAAAACATACTCCCTTGAAAAGCTACATAAACATAAAAGCTACTATACCATTGAATGACTACATGAAGAAAACACCTTGCTGCCTGCTGAGCTATAAAAAAGTTACATAACCTATAACCCTATTCCATTCCCAAAAAACTTTGGTTCGACCTTTCAACTTCCAAGTTCTAATTTAATCCTATTCATTATTTGCAATTCAAACAAGGCCTAAGTGGTCTTAATAGTTAGAGAAACCGTTGTAAAAGAGACAGACAATGTGGTACGAAATTCTTCCAGTATTTGGGATAATGACCGGACTGTTGGCTGCCCCTCCAGTTGTTGCTTACTATGTACAATCTTTCTTCCAGAATGGAAATGTAAGTATATGTTTGGAAGCCTTATCTTATGCTCGATAAATACTTATTAGGACCTGATTCTAGCCTTTTTTTACACTACAAGTTACTGTACAACACCTCTAATATCTTACTTTATGAACGGTAAACTTCCTAACTTAGTTGTGACAATTAGGCCTACATAGGACTAGAGTAGGCAGGACCTATTCCAACTTAGGAATCCTAACTCCTAGTCATTTTTCAGAGAGCCAGATAAGTTAGTTTACATCTAGAACTTAAGTTTCCTTAGTGCTGCAAGTAACTAGGCCTAGGCCCTATAGGCCTATCTATTCCCAACTTGACTTATGTAGCCTATCATTAAAAAACTCACATAGCCTAGTCTATAGTAGGCCTAAGTTATAACTATGAAATATGGCCTGGTATGTTAATTTCATAGGTCCTTCGCATAGTGTTGCAATCGCATCAACATTTAGATTAGGCCTAAATTCAATGTAGGCCTAGGCCTAGTCCTAAGTTGGTAAAATTTGTATAAAGATAAGTTAAGGTAATTTATATCAACCTCCGGACCTCACCCAAAATTAATATTTTTTTTCAAAATGGTCAAAATTTCACGCTGATTCCAAAAGTGATTGTTTTTCACTGAAACAGGTAGACTTTCATATCTGTTGTCAAAAACAACCAAATGAAAATACTTATCGATCAATATTTTTTATTCTAGGCCTATTGGGTATTTCATTTGATTAAATAAGTTATCGTTTGGTTAGTTAGGTTAATCAGAAACTTAAGGTTAAAAATCTTTGGATTAGAAACCCTGATATCCAACTAAGTTAACATTGTAGGCCTTTATCAAACAAAATTTCAACTCTAAGAAATATATATTAGGCTACCGGTATGTACGTAACTTAGCCTATCCAAAAACAAAACTTTAAAGTTAGTCCATATAAAGTCAATAACATAGGTAAGTAATAATAAGCTAAGTACACATCTATCTTTGATTTACATTTGATTGATTGACTTAAGGGAATGTAGAGTAACTTACGTGCCAGTTTTTGACATCACAACCTTGAGAAAAGCCTGTAATAAACATACTAATAAGCATATACAACAATATTAAATGTATTTGACTGTGATACTGATGCAATTATTCACATGCTTTGAACTGATATTCACCCATGACAGGATTGTTATTATTAGCCTATTTGCTTAATTGTTAAGAAAGTCTTCATATAAATTAAGCATAGCCTATCCTATTCATCAAAGAGTACTTCAATTGAAATCAATCAAAATATTTTATTTGAATATTAAAATATAGCCTAGTTCATGTAATGTTGACAATTTTTAGTTTCTTAATAATCAATTAAATTGCAGCCCTGCAAGAGAACTCTAAGAAACCCCTTGGACAGAAGACAATATCTGAGGGACATAAGCATCACAGGCAACTCCTATATCATTAACGTAAGTTTTACAGACCATTGAACCTAGCATTAATCACATACAAAAATCAACAAAGTCAAACCATTGCAACAATATATCGTTGTGCGTCTTTTTCCCGAAAAGCACGATATGTCGTTGTTCGCATTTCATCAGAAAAGCGCTAAGCGACGATATATCGTGCCGGCACGACTTTCGACCGTGTGAGATTAAATGGGTAGCCTATATCGGTTGACTCGGCTGTTGTTTCGAAACAGCGATGGTTTCTTTCGATTCCTCATACAATCAAAGCCCGATATATCGTTCTTTAGCACTTTTGAGATGAAAAATTTTATTTTTACCGTTTTTTTTCTTGCACACTAGACTTTGCCCCCGAGGCAAGCCTAGCACTTTTCGGACAAAATAAGTAAATTAATAAATCTAGCATTTTTCGGAAAATTGCAAAAAAATATTCTAGAGCATCGAAAGGGTTAAACTAAACTATAGGCCTATTTTCTGTTTCAGTGATAAACCAATGTAGAATATAATAACTCGCCTTTGGCTCGCTGGGGGCTCCGCCCCCAGGCCCCCTAGCTGTTAGTCGTCATTAGTAGATTAGAGTTAAGTTGTAACAAAGCAAGAAGTGAAACCGTCAATATTAAGTTATATAAGTTAACTTTGAGTAAGATAACTTCTAGCTTAAGGAACACCTCATAAAAAAATTATTTTTTAAGTTGCGGTAAGTGAGTATGTTAGTCAAGTATTTTTACAATTGAGTTTTTGGTCAAAGGAAGTAATAATATGAGGAGAGAAGGGTTCGTTATAGTAAAAATCGACATTAAAGTAATAACGATTTCATGAATTTATTAGAGGAGATTGATAAGTTAATAAGTTGATAATAGTAAAGTATTATATGAAGTAAATAGATTATAGTAGATATTCAAGTATATAATTACGAAAATAGATTAAGTAAGGTTTGTTTCCCTGTCGGTTAGCCATAAACTTTATGGCATATCCAGTTCCGCCACGAGGAGGCCAGGAAACGTCGGAACCATATTTGCAATTATTTGAATATGTACAAGTTAGTAAACTTTTGTACAAGATAAGTAAATTTATATTGATGTTCATTGATAGGTTAATAAGTTGATGATAGTAAAGTATTATATGATGTGAATAGATTATATTAGATATTCATGTATATATGATGTAAATAGAAAATAGATTATAGTAGATATTCATGACGTATATATTTATGAAAATAGATTAAGTAATGTTTGTTTCCCTGTCAGTTAGCCACAAACTGTATGGCATATCCAGTTCCGCCACGAGGAGGCCAGGAAACGTTGGAACCATATTTACAATTACTTACAAATGTACAAATTAGAGAACTGTTGTATAAGATGAGTAGATTGATTAGTATGTCGATTGATAAGTGAATAAGTTGATAATAGTAAAGTATCATATGAATTAAATAGATTATAGTAGATATTCATGTATATATTTATGAAAATAGATCAAGTAATGTTTGTTTCCCTGTCGGTTAGCCATACAATTTATGGCATATCCAGTTCCGCCACGGGGAGGCCAGGAAACGTCGGAACCATATTTACAATTATTTACAAATGTACAAGTTAGTAAACTTTACTAACTACTTTATACAACAACGGGGACTTTTGATAAGGCAGGCCCCCTATCGTACTGCCGATGTTGTCAAGTCACAACGGGGAGTTTTGATTAAGCAGATCCCCTAGCCTACTGCTAATGTCAAATCAGGTTTAGAGAAGGAGATCGCCATACACGATGTTCTTTGCGTATGCGATTCCATCTCGGACACGTTCGGGGTGTACGAGAACAACAATATGGTCTGGATGTCTGACCCTACTGAGCAAGACGTATAGTTGCCCGTGCGTGAAGCAATCGGTCCGTAAATCAACACCGACTGAATCTATTGTCTGACCTTGGCTCTTGTGTCCGGTCATGCAATAGGCCAACATCAGTGGGAACTGACGTCGACGAACACGTAACGGCGAACCCTCGACAAACGCAAAAGTAAAGGTAATCCGGGGAATTCCGATAGGTTGCGTCTGTCCGGGAAGTCTCACTGTAATCAGGCGGTTGGTGATGCCGATTACGATGACTTTAGTGCCGTTGACGAGTCCTTCAGCGATGTTGAGGTTCCTCATAATGAGGCAAACAGAACCGATCTTCAGCCGCAGAACATGGTCTGGTACGCCCTTGCCAGTAGCCGTGTTCAGGAGTTGAACGTCGACATCCAGGCCATCGTCGTTCTCTCTGTCGACTGTGTCGGCGCTCCTCAGCTCGTACAGATGACCGTCGAGGGAGTTCAAGATGTGGTCGTTGATCTCCTTGACGTTCACTATCAGAGTCGAGAGGATTGCGCGTCGCGAACACATATCAGAGTCGAGTAGGACGTTTGCGGGAAAGACGGAATCGACCAAATCAGTCAAAGACGTCACTTGTCTAATCCCGAGCAGCGGAATTAGACTTTGTTCGTTCCGTCCCTCCAAGAAAGTGGTCGAACTGACAGTTCCGTTGCCTACCCTAAGAAGGAATTCGGAATAGGCTGTGGAACTACTAGTCCGATGAGCTGTTGTCAGGGCAAAAATTTTGAAATGCTGCCACAGATGGGAAGCCCGAAGTGAGACACAAACAATGTCAGTTGGAGTACGAGCGTTTACAACGACAGGCGCGATCTGGCGAAAGTCGCCACAACAGAGGAATATTTTACCACCAAATAGCTCACTGGAACGCATGAGGTCTCGCAGGGATCTGTCAAGAACCTCGAAAACGAACCGATGTGCCATCGGGGCCTCATCAAAGACAATGAGCCTTGCGGCCCTGATGAGCTCTGCTCGCTGGGAGCCGTTGGTGATGTTCCAAAAGCCGGTGCCGTCACCGAAGTCGAGTGGCAACCGGAACATGCTGTGAGCTGTAGTTCCACCAGGCATGTTACCCGCGGCGATCCCAGAGCTAGCGACTGCCAGTGCAACCTGACGACAACCTCTCACGTATGCGAGAATGACACGAATCAGAGTGGTCTTCCCATAGCCTCCCGGGCCGTCAAGAAAAATGATTTTCGACGACGTTCCGCTGGCAGGGGCATTGAGAACGGAGGTAACGTACTCAAATACGCGGTTTTGATCTTCAGAGAGCTTTGGCACCCACTCCTCCACAAACACTCTCTGTTGATTTTCACCATGTAAGAGCAGTTCTCTGCCCAACTCCGTCGTGTCATCGTGTACATCGGGGAGGCCATGATCTGCGACGCAAGAACCCTGCCGACGAAGACTCCGATCAATATCGATGAGACCTAGCTTGTAGGCCAGTTCAACATCGAGAGGATTACGCTCTATGTGGTCCTCGCAGATGGAATCACGGAAAGCATCCCACAGGAGAGCTGCAGGAGCCCCCATGTTGCAGAGGATCACAAAGAAAGAACGAAGTCTCGGGCCAGTCATGAAAGTGGCGGCCTCGCGCAGTGCGTAGTGGTACTCCTGTTCGTCTTGCACCAAGCCAAGATGCCGCGCGACCCCTTGAAAAGTGCGGCAGTTTGGTCCACCGCGGGACAGGAGGTCGGCATAACCACGGCAAGATACAGTCATAAGCAGGATACGCAGGTAATACTGTTCTGTCCTGCTCGGTGAGACCCAAAACAGTCTGCACACCTTCTCGCCACGCTGTCAGGCAGTGATAAAATGGACGCCATCGGGGTGCTCGTATATCTCCGCAGTTTTTGGGCGCTTGACATGAACCACAAACGTTTCATAGAACCCCTGATAAGTCAGGTCGTCAAACAGTGAAATACGAGGCCGGTCAAAGTAGATGGTGAGTTTGGAGCTGTTCCTAGCGGCTGCCTCTGCCAGTTGGCCAGGTCTAAACAGGACGGACTGCTTGCCCTCCAGATGGACGGGAAGACATTCAACAGCCGGCTCAGATTCTGATACTGGAAAGTTTAATAAACGCCAGCACGCGTCACTGGCACCCACCATTCTCTTCGTCACGTAATGCTGTACCTCATCATCTTGCTTACTGAAGGGAGTAACTGTGACGTTCTGGAGAGATCCTCCCTTCATAAGATATTTGAAGAGGTACTTAATCACGCGGCGAGTAGACGCCAGCTCCAAATTGATGTGAGCCTCGTATTTCAACATCAGTGCGGGATTATAAGGCACAACCCAACCGTCATGTACGATAATGTTCTTATTGCGTGATACAATTGTCCCCCGATTGGTATAATCTCGCTTGTACTGGACGAATCCCCTCTCGTCGACGTGGGTGGTTTCACAGCAGGGCTTGGGGAAGTATTTGGTGCAGTAACCCTTTGCAGAGTCCTAACAGAGAAAGTCAGTCCTATGATCATTACCACATGGACCGTGGATCATGTGTTTGAGGACCAACTTTCTCAGTCGGCCTCCGGCCTCTTCTTCCGAGGGAATATCTGCGCGGATGATGGAGTCAATTTCGGACGCCTGAACTGGTCCGTCGCCGTCAATCTTGAATACAATGTGGGCGTGAGGAAGGCCCCTCATTTGCATCTCGATGACGTAGACGATATAGACAGAGCGTCCAAACATTGCTCCGCTGCGCAGGTCTCGGAGAAGTTCCAGAAGTTTGATCCTAAAAACTCTGCAAGCAGTGCTAGGGTCACTGCGAGTACCTCCACGAGGGCAAGCTTTCTTGTTTTCCTCCCAAGTCGCGTTGTAAGTAAACGTCAAAAAGAAAGTGGGGGAACCCAGGCGCGATACGATTGCCATAGCGTCTTCGTATTTTACTTTCATGTACCTGGGCCCCCCGGTGAACGAACTTGGGAGGTAGACTTTTCCTGCCTGCACCCCACCCTCGCCTTGGACGGTTTCATCACGAGCGATGTCGTTCAAGACCTGCTGTGCATTCCGAATCTCGTCAACCGGCCCCACCCGCAAGGCACTATCGGTGTTCTTCAGCTGCGTAAACTTAATGTAACGCAGTTTCCCCTCCTCGTACCTCGCGAACATCTCAACCTGCCAAGCTTGTGAGAGACGGCCTAGGTGAGAGAAGCGAGGTTCAGAAAGTAGGAGGCACCGCGAGTACTTAAATTGAGTCAGTTTGGCACCCTTGTTATCAAGGCGGCCAACGTGCCATCCCACAGTGCCTTGCGGGTAAAGTAGGGGATATTGGAAAGGTTCCATTAGGGGGTGTAAAAGATCAATAAATGTAGGTCTATCGGAACCGGATTTCCATATAGTCAGTCTCCGGGGCTCAGTGTCGTTTTCATCATTGCTGAGCACGGCGTGCACTTCGACGCCTGTTTGCCGATCACCGAGAACAGGGCCATGGGTAGACCTGCTTGTTACTTCAAAAGCCAAGTGAGCTGTTACGGAAGGCTCGTTGCTCAATCGACGGTAATGCTCAATGTAAGGATTTTCCCTAGACAGGAAATCAGCAATACCGTCGATGATCTCGGCATCAAGCGATCTACCCATCGCAATGTTACGGCGCTCTTCGCCATCGTCAATATACAGGCGGGACCGATTCACAAACTGAACGTTCCCAGAACGAGTGGTGAACTTTTGTCCTGGGGCGTCCAGATTGTAGACCTGGTGGTACATTCTTCCCTCGATCTTGAAAAAAGAAAGACCACTGGGATGACGATACCCGCCTGACACTTCGAGCGCGCAGAAAGCAAACAGGTCGTTGTACGCACGGGCTCTTTCCAGGAAGAGACGGTCGGAATAAAAGCGTTCTTGCAACGGAGGAATGTCGAGAACATTGAACGCTCCTTCCCCGCAGCACCATTGCTTTCTATTCTTCTCCTCCTCGAAGAGCCGTGCTTGGCAATGACGACATCTGTAAACGTCGTCAACCCAGAGACTGACTTTTTTTAATTTGTATGGTTGTATTTCATTGAGTGGCTCCCCATTCCAAACAGACATGGGGCCATTTTTGACTACGGACCGAGCAAGTGATGCGGGCATATAGCGAAGTTCAGACATTTTCGGATTTTTCAGGCGAAAAATCTGAACTCTCTCAGCAGAAGCACCGGGATTACGCAGGTCGTATTGCTGAACAGCCTTTCGGTGCACCTCAGGGTGGGTTTGAGTGTAACGTTGACTGTCATCCCGGAGTTTGTCAGCGTGCGTCTCCCTATACTTCTTCTTCGCCGCATCCACTTGCTCTTCTCGGGTCGTGTCTAAAAGCTTTGGACGACCACGCTTTATTGTTTTTGGTCTACCAGGACATTTGGTTTTCTGAACAACTGTCTCAGAGGCAGATTCTGATAACTGAGTTAAGTCATTGTCCGAACAGTCGACCGTGTGGACAGTTTGAGTTTCGTTGACGGAAAACTTTATTTTTGTGACGGAGTACTGCCCACCGACGAACGCAGAATTCACCAAAATGAGGGAAGCTAGAGAACGAAAACTATTACAGACGAACACCCTAGCCTTATTTCTCGCCTCATCAATGTCTCGACGACGGTTTTCGTTTACCGCGTGGGAATCAAAGAGGTACAGCCGCCCTTGGAAACGCCAAAAAGCGACTGTCACCAACTGTCCCGTAAACAAAAAACCGCTATCAACGGAGTCACCGGGCATAGCTGCTTCCAAAACCGAAGACAAGGAAGAGGTCACCTCATCTAGGCCATCGTTTCGTAACGGATACAACCCGTCCCAAACACAAGAAATTTCTTCGATGGTAACACGATGGTGTGCAACCACGAAGTGCCTGGCGAGGTCCTCAGGGAACAGATACCGGTTAGTGATGCTATGCTCACGGCGAGATAGTGTATACAAGCTATCGCCCGCCATGAGTATAGCGTCAATAGCGTTGGTACTGAATCCGCCGCAGAATGCTTGCCATGCGAGGGCACAGGTTGCATTTGCCATGCATTGAGCGTTGTTGCTCTCGGTAAATCTGGGATCTCCCTGGTGGAACGACCCAGCAGCAACGCAAGAGAATTCCATGCTTACAGAAAATTGCAGCAAAATCGCCAAAATAACAAGTCCAATAAATAGGAAGAAGTGACAGTGAAACTTAATCATGGGTAGCCAAATCCATTAGCAAAAATTAGAGAGAACCAAATGACTATACAGCGTTACTGACCTACGCGTTTTGGGGGTCAAGGAGTAAAGTTACGAAAAAACATGTGAAGGGTGAAATGTAAAGTAAACTAAGGAGAGTACGAAACATTAATAATATTTGAAGAAAAAATTTTTTATGTACGAAAAATTATCAAAAACCGTTAAAAATTTGAAGAAAATTTACCAAAATTTGAAAGTAGGGCGTTTTTTTTAGGTGAAGGAGTGCGATTTTCTAAAAACGCGTAATAGTGTCTTGTAGGAAATTTAATTCCTGTTCATGAAGATTCTTTCAAATTTTTGCTAGCTATTACCGTTTTTTAGTTATAGTCGGTATTAAAAACCGTGTTTTTTCGTTTTTATACGTCTACCATTTTGGATTTTTTTGGGGGTTAAAATTTTTAAAAGGCATTTTTGCAAATTCCACCATTAACGGATGATCCCATACTGCAATACTACAAAAATTTAAAGTCTTTAGAACGTTTCTAAACTAATCAGATGAGCATACCAAAGTATTAAAATTACATAGCTATTCTCCATAAGGATAACATGGGGCTGGTAAAACCGGTAAAAACCAATCAAATTTTCACATTAAAATTAAGTTTTTGGGGGTCAAGGAGTAAAGTTACGAAAATACATGTAAAGGGTGAAATGTAAAGTAAACTAAGGAGAATACGAAACATTAATAATATTTGCAAAAAATAATTATTTAGGTACGAAAACATAGCAAAAACCGATAAAAATTTGAAAAAAATTTACAAAATTTTGAAAGTAGGGCGTTTTTTGAAGCTTAAGGAGTGCGATTTTCTGAAAACGCCTAAGAGGGTTTTGTAGAAAATTTAATTCCTGTTCCTGGATATACTGTCAAATCTTTTCTAGCTCTTACCGTTTTCGAGCTGCATCCGGTTGAAAAAAAAGTGTTTTTTCGTTTTCAGAGGTCCGCCGTTTTGGATTTTTGGGTGGGTTAAAATTTGAAAATGGGACTTTTGCATATTCCACCGGTAATGTAAGATCTTTTACTACAATACTACGCAAATTTGAAGTCTCTAGCACGTTTCTAAGTGGTTCAGATGGGAACACGAAAGTCGGCCATTTTTAATGTTATTCCCCATAAGAATAACATGGGGGGGGAATTCGAATTTTCGGGGGGGTTAAAATTTGAAAATGCGACTTTTTGGAATTTTATGGGTGGTTTGGGCACTAGACCTACAACCACCGAAAATTTCAAGTCTCTAGCTCATCTAGAAGTGGTCTAGAATTTGTATCCCCAGTCAGTTACACATCGGATTGTATAGTATTTAGACTCGCCTTTGGCTCGCTGGGGGCTCCGCCCCCAGGCCCCCTAGCTGTTAGTCGTCATTCAGAAATTTAGGAAGGGGTGAGAGGCCATCACCAAGAAGCCGGGGAAATTTCAAGCCCGTAGCACACCTAGAAGTGGTCTAGAAAGCACTCTCCGCATCTCTAAATTCTTTGTGGGGTTGTAATAGCGAAAATCGATATTGAAGTAATAACCATTTCACAAAATATTCGAGTAGATTGATAAGTATAGAATAGTAAAGTATTATATTAAGTAATTAGTTCATAGTAAATATTCATGTATATGTTTATGAAAATAGATGAATTTATTTTTGTTTCCCTGTCAGTTAGCCACAAACTGTATGGCATATCCAGTTCCGCCACGGGGAGGCCAGGAAACGTAGGAACCATATTAATTTACAATTATTTATATTAACAGTTATAGTATTTCAAGTAAACAGATGTTAGTATATATTTATAAATTTATTAATGAAAATAGATCAAGTAATGTTTGTTTCCCTGTCGGTTAGCCATAAACTGCAAGGCATATCCAGTTCCACCACGAGGAGGCCAGGAAACGTCGGAACCATATTATTAATTACATGTACAAGTCAGTAAAATTTTGTATAAGATAAGTAGATTGATAAGTGAATAAGTTGATAATAGTAAAGTATTATATTAATTAAATAGATTATAGTAGATATTCATGTATATATTTATGAAAATAGATAAAGTAATGTTTGTTTCCCTGTCGGTTAGCCATAAACTGCAAGGCATATCCAGTTCCGCCACGAGGAGGC